GTGAGGAAGTATTACAGACGCTGAAGCTGACAAGTTATTAATTATTACGTCATATTCCAGTGATGTTGACGTGTTCAGTCCTGTTGCTCATGCAGAGACGTCAGCAGGGATTGTGTTCATGCAAAGCGCAATAAATTATCTTTTACCGACATTTAAATGAACAATATAGATCTGAAATAGTCAGGATTATCATTCTGGTCTTAGTTGTAGTTGCTGCTGAGCTGTGGTGGAAGGACGACTCGGACCAGAACCTTCAATTCAGACAACCAGGAGCAGCAGCCGTGTGATGTTGTCATCAGCAGCAATACGGATTACTCTCCAATAAAAAGCAAATCAAATTAATTTAAAAAGAATTTGGCGACTGGTCACTACATACAACAGAGCTGCTGAACAGTCGGGAGCACCGCGCCGCCATCTTGGATCACAGCCCAGTCTGAGGAATTAATGTAAAGCAGCAGCTTGTTCAGCTTTAACCCCCACAAACGTGGTCGTCTCTCCACGTCGAGGCTTAACTTAGCTGTTTGTGCGACTAAAACACAGCCGTAGAACCCTCAGGTTATGATTTTACTGTGAATGCATCCAGCCGGACCTGCTGTAAATAAACTGGAGGAGATTTGGGCCACGGCTACACGTAGCCGGGTCTTTACAAAAAAACGGATCTACGTTTCCAAAAAAATCTTCGTTTACACAAACTCGCTTAAGAGCTGCTGTGAGCTGCCAGACCTGTAGGGGGCAGTGTAGCGAGAAGCATATGCTAGCCAATCAGAGTCCTGGAAAAAACAACGAATGGCACGAATGACTTCCTTCAGCGATAACGGCGCGAGGGTTGTTTGTTTGGACTGACAGAGAAGTGGAGCTGCTCCTGAAGGTGGCGCTAGAGGACAGAACAAGTAAAACAGCGTCCATCTGTCACAGCAGCTGAACGGTAAACATGGCCGCACGCTGATGACGCTTCAGTCGCACGCTGTGACGTCTCCTCCCGTCTACACGAGTTCCTCCAAGTCTCCACTGACGTGATGGTTTTTGGTGACTCGTAGCTTCAAACCAAAGACCCGTTGAACTGTTCCTGCTCCGTGTGAACGTGACCTTAGACCTGAAAAAATACCAGAAAGCAAATGAAGCAGCAGCATCATGACGCTGTCAGACGACTCATCAGCTTCTATTTACCGTACGTGGACGACCTGCAGCCGTCCAACTGGACCTGCTATCTGACTCAGTTCCTTGTTATTCCCTTTACTCCGACTCGGACCAGCTGCCGCGGTAATCCCGAGCCTCTGCTGGGCGCCGCCGCGGTCGTCATAGTGATGTAATGTCACCCAGTCAGCTGTGCCGCCGAGCATGCTGGGAAAATTCCCCCCCTGGGAGGAATCTGGATGAGCTGCCCTTTAGAGAGCAGCCGGTGAAGAGGCAGGACCCCCCGACGCCGAGAGGCACCTGAAGGCGTCGCCGCCGCCGCCGGCCTCACCTGAACCGTTCTGTCTGGAACCAGTTTACAACCAATACAAACTAAATATTCATCCACAGTTTGGTCTTCATGCCTCCTTCAAGCCAAATTCTTTATAGAAATTTGTCACAAATGAATGCATCTGTGCAGTCAAACATCTGCTGTCATGGGTTTTACACAGAAATGTAAATTATATGAAAACATTCTGGGACGTTGTGGCAGTTTAAATAAAAAATACCAGATATTTAATCAACCAAATGTCTCACTGCTGCATTTTAAACACCACCAGTCTGATCATGTGTCATTTGGTGCTAATTTATAACGAATACAGACTAAATATTGGTGATAAACTCGGCTTTAAACCAAACAAACTCATGTGTTCATCAACACTTTATGAGTTTAGAACTGAGCCGCAGCTTTTCCAGCAGAATTCAAACGACTTTCTGGAAATCTTTAGTGCATCTGTGCAGTCAAACATCTGCTGTCATGGGCTTTATTTCTCTCTCAGACATGCAGAAATGCAAACTATGAGAATATTGTGGGACGTTGTGGCAGTTTGTCTGTTGTTTTATCGACCAGATGACTCGCTGCTGGTTATGTGTCATTAAAAAGCTGAAAACCTCACGAGGGGAATGACTTTTAGACAACGTTTAGAGTCGACACTCAGAAGCACATCCTGGTTGAATCAAACAACAAACAAAACGCTTCACATCTAAAAACATCTCACGCGCCTGAAGCTTTCAGAATAAAACATCCTCACAGAAGGTGGAGGAGTGGAGGCGGGTTTGATGACCCGCTTTATTTCATTCAGCTCTCTAAGATCAGTTTGTTGGACCTGCTGGGCCCGAACACCTGTCCCGTCCTCCCAGCATGCCTCGCTGCCGTGGGCGGGGCTCAACGGGAGGCTGGCTCTATATTTATCCCGTTAATACCCCACAAACTGCCCCGTGTGTGAGCTCCGGGGGTATTTTCGGGGACCTGAAACCCGACACCGCCGTCGCACTCTTCCACCTTTTGCGATTGGACACTTTCAGTCGTCACCTGGACGCACCTGGGCGACTCTGACGCCGACGCTTCGGCAGCTGTGTGTGATTTTTAGGCATTTGTGCGACGCCTGCTTCCTGTGAGGCCCATGAAGGGCCGGCGGTGGGGAAGTCCCCGGCCGGGTTGTGTATCCGTCACAGGATTAGGGCGGCAGGTGGTGCTGGAGGCGCTGCAGTCATCTGATCAGATTAGCTGCTGACCTTGTTGGACAAAAGAAACACAGCCATGCCTCCGTTTTTTCCCTCCTGTCAGCTCACAGGTGGAATCACTCAAAGCTCATTTCAGTGTTTTATCCCAACAGAACAAATGGGACTGATCGAACTTCTGCTCTTGTAGAAATAAAATTCAGCAAAGTGACTAAATTCAAATGAAAAGCAACTTTTAAAAAAAAAATATAAAAATCACAAACAAAAAGAAGATAATGTATAATCACAAAATGCATTTTAAAAAATATATAATAATAAAAAGAAAATGAATGAATCTTTACAATTTAGAGAATTAAAAAAGAAAAAAAAAGGAGTCTGGAAAATCCTAATGAAAAATAAAAAATAAGCGGGAAAAAAAATCAAAAGATATAAACCAAAAACATAATTAATTATCCAGGAAAAAAACTGGAATATATATATATTTTTAAATGGAATAATTACAGAGACTATGAAGGTAGAAAATTAGAAAAAAATATAAGGATGTATATGATTTAAAAATAAGCAAAAATATTTTAAAATAATTAGTAAAATAGCAAAAACCAAATAAAGTATCTAAAGAATAAAAATAAGACATCAACAAATCCATTAATAATAATAATAATAATAATAATAATAATAATAATAATAATAATAATAGAAAGACATAAAAATTAACATAGAATGTTTTTTTAAATTGTTATTTAAAAATAAAACTCCAAAAAAGAGCCTCAAACCAACAAACAAAAAATGTTTATATCAGAAACTCAGTGTGTTATTACTGATATATGTATACATAGATAATTTGGTTTTGTTATGAGGTCGACATTTTAACTGAAATCTTTAAGAAGCAGCTCTGAGAAACTTAGAAGTGGCATTTTTTTCACAGCATTTGCTTGTTTTTGAGTTTTATGTCTTTCTGTTGTGGTTTTGTGTCTTTTTGTGGTTGTTTTGAGTCTCTTTGTGTCGGTTTTATGTCTCTCAGTGTTCGTATTGTGTCTCTTTGTCGTCATTTGGAATCTCATTGTGGTATTTTTACTTTTTCTTTTTTAAATCCTAGTTTTTCTTCCTTTTTGTGGTCTTGCATCTTTTTTTTATGCTCTCATAGCTTCATTTCCTCTGGGTTTTTTTTTGTTTTTTGCATTGTTGTTTGTATATTAAGACTCGCCTAAACCTTCTTCAGACCTGTTGGATCACCTCAGGAGTTAACGTGATGGGGCGCTCTGGGCCTGACGTGACTTTAAAATGTGTTGAAAGCTTTAAATATTTCTGGAAGTCGAGCCGAACGCCTCTTCAGTGTCGCTTTACTCGTGTCATCAGGTCAGAGACACTTTGAGCTTTGACCTCCTCGTGCTGACTTTTTATCCAAATTAAGAAAAGGCCGGAGCTCAGGTGAACCCAGCTCGCTCCTAAAAGAGTCTCACATCCAAAAACTGATGATACAAATCCATCTTTACCTCGACTTTGATCACTGACGCTTTATCAGACGCTGACTTGTTGTCGGTGAAACTCTTTTGCGATCGCTTCGTGTCACTTTCTGGTTAGTTCTGCGTCTTTTTGTGGTTGTTTTGTCTCCATTAGTCGTGGGTTTGACCATAGTTGTGCTAATATTACGTCCCCCTTTTAGTCTTTTTGTCGTCGTTTTGCACCCGTTTGTGTTCCTTCTGTGGCTGTTTTTAGTTAATTCAGTCTTATTGTGGTCGGTTTGCATCTTTTTCTGCTCATCTCGTGTCACTTTACAGGAATCCTGCCTCTATTTGCAGTGGTTCTGTGTCTTCTTTTGGTCATTTTGTGTTTCTTTTTGGTTGTTTTGTTTTGTCGACCTTTTTTGTTCGATTGTCTCTTTGCAGTTTTGCATCTGTTGCTCTCATTTTGTGTCTCTGTGCAATCTTTCGGTTTGTTTGTGCATCAGTTTATGCTCATTTAGTGTCTTGTTTTAGTTGATTTAGTTTTTTTTTTTGTCATTCTGCACCTATTTGTGTTCATTTTTCTTTTTTTTTGGTCTGTTTTTGTCCTTTTATGGTTTATTTCTAATCTCGGGAGTTGTTCTGTGTCTTCTTCGGGGTTTTTGTGGAAATGAACTCCTTCGGTCCTTTGAATCTAAACCTCCTGAACGAGTCTTTCACACAGTCAGAAGGTGTAAAACTCAGACTGGTCCTCATAAAGCCGGTGACGTCCACGTGCAGCTGGCGCGAACCGCAGACGTTGACATGTGGCTTTGACAGGCCTGAAAATAGACAGAAGCATGCCTCCGGTTATAGATCCGAACAAAGTGGCAGGAATGAAGCGAGACGTGAATCGATCGCACACTTCTTCTCTTTTCTCCGCAGGTCTTGCAGAAACTCGGCAAAGCGGACGAGACCAGAGACGTCGCGTTTGAGGAGATGGTGGCCAACTTCAACAAGCAGATGGTCAGCGGCCAAACGTTCAAGTCCACAAAACAGTCTGTGATGCTGCAGTGATTGACTGTAGTGTTTTAATAACTCCGTCCTCCATCGCTGTGTTTGCTGTTTCAGACAGAGGGCACCAAGCTGCAGAAAGACCTGAAAGCCTACCTGGTAGCAGTGAAAAGTAAGTGGACATATTAGCTGGATCTCAACCATAAAAGGAGACAAAAAACTGCTCTAAAGAGACACAAAAAGACCACAAACGGATGGAAACTCACTGGGAGTGGACACGAGATGACCAAATAGAAACACAAGTTGACTACAGAGAGATGGAAAGTACTTAAAAAGTGACGCAAACTGACAAAAAAAAAAACATGCAAACGTGCACAAGGAGACACAAAACGACCACAAAGAGATGCAAAGCAACCAGAGAGAGTCAGAAAATGTCGACAAAGAGACACAAAACGACCAGAGAGAGGCAAAATTAGAAAGAATAGATGGAAAACGACCACAAAGAGACACAAGACGATCAGAAATGGAGCAAAACAACCAGATAGTGACACAAAATAAAGATTAAAAGACACAAAATGATGAAAAAGAGACACAAAACATCACGCAGATGACAACACAGAGACGTAAGACGACCCGCAAGAGACTCAAAACCACCATAAAGACACATAAAACAACCAGGAAGAGAAACAAAATGAGCAAAAATACGTGAAAAATTAACACAAAAAGACACAAAATGATGAAGAAGAGACACAAGATGACCTGAAAGAGACGGAAAACAATCGGAAAGAGACAAAATTAGCAAAAATAGATAGAAAATGACCACAAAGAGTCACAAAACAACCAGAAAGAGTCAGAAAATGTCGAGAAAGAAACACAAAAGACGCGGAAAGCAACGCAAAACGACAGAAAGAGATGCACAATGACAACAACACGCAAATGACCGCACAGAGACGTAAGACGACCCACAAGAGACACAAAACCACCATAAAGACACACAAAACAACCAGGAAGAGAAACAAAATCAGCAAAAATACATGAAAAATGAACACAAAGAGACACAAGATGATTAGACATAGAAACAAAACAACCAGACAGTGACATAAAACAAAGATAGACAGAAAACAATCGGTAGGAGACAAAGTTAGCAAAAATAGATGAAAAATGACCACAAAGAGACACAAAACGATGTGAAAACAAATACAAAACAATGAGGAAGAGACCCAAAATGACCAGAGAGACACGAGAGAACCTGAAAGAGACGCAAAACGACCACAGAAAGATCAGAAATTCCCACAAAAGGCACAAAATAGTGTCAGATGTGAACGCTGCACAGAAACAGAGACGAACTAGAAATCGATGCAAAATGACCAACAAGGAGCCACAACAGCAGAGAAGGATGCACATGAACTACAAAGAGCCAACATGGCCGCAGAGAGACAAACAACAACCACCAAGAAAGTGCAGAAAACATAATCCACAGGCAGACAAATCACGGCAGCAGGGACACGGTCAGCGTCGTGGAGATCAAACCACCACATTTCTGTCTGGACGTTAATCGGTCTCGACCTTCGACTGCTCACCTCCTGTGTTGTTGTGTGTCTGTGTTGCAGCGATGCACGACGCCTCGCGGCGGCTGCAGGACTGTCTGGCTGAAATGTACGAACCCGACTGGTTTGGCAAAGAGGAGATGGACGCCATGGCAGAGGTGAGGCGGCGCCGTGGCTTCCTGTCCTCCACCTCCACCGTCTTCTCTGTCGCTCACCGTTGTGCTCGTTTAAAACATTCTTCTTGTGTCTCAGTCTCCGTCTTTTCCTCGCTGCTAACACTCTTTGTTTTCCTGACCTGCATGCTTCTCTCCTTCCTCTCTGAAGGAGATGATAGAGAAGGAGTTGGACTATAACTTGGAGGTAAAAGGCAGAGAACGTGTCCGGTGTGTCCCACGGATCGGCTCAGGACGGGCCGCACAGACGTAGAGAACATGATTTGATTGGCGATTATATTGGCTCTGAAAGATTATGAAAAGCGCCAAACATCTGCCGTGGCTCTCCGTCTGATGCTGCTCTTGGTCTTGGTTCTCGTGGAGGGACACACTGGTGCAGATCAGACCAAGTAGACGATCAGTTCTAGAGCAGATCCTGTAGCTCACCGTACTGTAGGAATGTTCTTTTCACTCTGCCAGAGCAAAAACAAACGATTGGACGTTATGAAGAGAGAAAAGCACCAACAGTGGCTTCATGTACAGAGGACAGCTTCAGGCGGGTACAAGTGAAGACAGGAGGCTGCTGTAGGAGTCAGTAATGCTCCTAAACTTGGCTTTTATATTCACGTCATGCACAAAACTAACAGAAGATACAAAAAAAATGACAAGAAAGAGACGCAAAAGGGGAAAGAAATGCAAAATGACCAAAAAGACAGTCGTGAAGTGACCACAGAGACACACAATGACCAGATAGAGACGCAACAAGACCACAAGGACGCTAAAAATGGCCACAAAGACATAGATACTGACTATAAAGAGACACAAAGCGACCACAGGTGGACACACAATGACCAGACAGAGACGCTACGTGACCACAGACACACACAATGACCACAAAGAGAAGCAAAGGACCATAAACAGACATAGAATGACCAGAAAAATTACCTCAAAGAGACAAGAAACTACCAGAAATAGAAGCAACATGATCAGAAAGACACAAATAACGACCGTAAAGAGACACAAAACAACCACAAAGATACAAATTATGACCCTGAAGAGACACAAAGCAACCACAAAGATACAAATTATGACCCTGAAGAGACACAAAGCAACCACAAAGATACAAATTATGACCCTGAAGAGACACAAAGCAACCACAAAGATACAAATAACAACCACAAAGAAACACAAAACAACCACAAAGACACAAATAACGACCACAAAGAGACACAAAACAACCACAAAGATACAAACAACGACCACAAAGAGAAGCAAATGACCATTAACAGACATAGAATGACCAGAAAAAGACGTACAAATCACCACAAAGAGACAAAAACAACCAGAAATGGAAGCAACATGACCAGAAAGGCACAAATAATGACCCCAAAGAGTCGTTTTCTACTCTTCGTCCATGGAAGCAGCCTGGCAGTGTGAAAACACGACAGCTTTAAGAGGTTTTATCTGAACGTTGTCGTCCCGTAAACGCTGTTGTGTTGCTCCAGGACACCGACACTCTGTGGCTGGACTACCACCAGAACGTCACGGACAAATCCCTGGCCTCCATGGACACGTACCTGACTCAGTTTCCTGACATCAAGGTGCGTGGGCTTCACATTAACCTGAACACCGGGTCGGTTTTTCAAAATAAAAGCGCTTAAACGAGAGTGACTCTAGGGGTGTGCAAATCACAGGTTGTATTTAAATGATCTGAGAAAATGTTATATTGTCTGGAAGCAGCTTTTAAAATGTGAATATTTGCTGGTTTTTGTGTTTTTAACTGCAACACTTTAAGGTTTTTTCACATTTTGTAATAAAACTCACTTTATAGTTTCGCTGATGTTCTGCTTAAATGGTGCAAATAAATAAAAACTAACGGGATTGTTTAATTTGTGCAGAATAATACAGCATGAAGGATGTTTAAGTGATAATTCTTGTGTGTTTATTTCAGGCTCGCATAGCGAAGCGCGACAGGAAGATGGTGGACTTCGACAGCGCCCGGCATCACTTCGCCTCCTTACAGAAAGGCAAGAAGAAGGACGAGGCAAAGATCGCCAAGGTAACCGCCAGCAAGAGTGTGTGTGTGTGTGTGTGTGTGTGTGTGGCAGCTGGTGTGTGTGTGTGTTTGAGCATGTCAGAGTTTAAAAGGCACAGTTTGGATTAGTTTTTTGATTTAAGGCGGTATGAAACAGTTCATACCACCTTTTGTTTTATTCTGTGTTCAGCTGCTGGTGTGATCTGAATATTTTTTTAAGAGAGAAAAATACTCTGGATTTAGGGATTAAAGAATAAAAATTAAAAGTCTGCAAATAATAAAATAATAATTTTTAAAAATCTTTAAAAAATCCCACTTCTTACGCTGCTCTTAAATTATTTTCAGTAAATGACCCTCTCATGCATTCTTTTAAATTTGCATTTGAAATTTTTTTCATTTCATAATTATTTTTGGCCTGCTATGTTGTAATGAAGACTTTATATATTTATTTCATATATTTTTCTTTTACCATTAACAGCACTGATGACATCATAAATCAATTAAACAATTAAAGACACGCGTACACAAAAGATGAAGTCGATATAAAACACTGGGATTCTTCTATTTAACATTAAATCCGTATTAGCTAATCTACTCCATTATTTAAACACTAAACATGAATAAAGTATTGACTCATGATCATCACAGCTCACTGTCGTTCATGTGATTCTATGAACTCATGCCGTCTTTCTTCATGTTTAGTTTTAAATCCAGTGAACTAATTACATATTTGTGTAGCTGTCGTATGTATACATTCAGTATTACAGCACGATGCAGTTTATAAATCAGAAAAAGTTTGAATAAACACGTTTACGATCAAGTTTTTGTTCTATTAAAGTGTTTTTAGTGGTTATGATGAAACCTACAGGGACAGTCATACCGCCTTAAGTCAAACAACCAACACCAGTTTGATTTGCAGCTAATTAACCTTCGTTAAGCTCATTGAAACTGTTTTGTCTGATTTACTAAATGCTGATTCACATGTCTGCATTTGTTTTGATTTGCTCTTTGTCTCGCTGCCTCTCCTGCTCCGTCTCTTCTGTCTTTCTCTGCATGGTGTGTGTGGTTAGCCAGCAGCCCTGTTGGAGATGGCGGCTCCCAGCTGGGCTCAGGGTTTGATATCGGCCCACCAGGTGGCTCAGACTAACCTCTCCTACAACCAGGTGACACTCTGGTTCATCTCCCCCTCCTCACCCCCCAAACTGTCCGGCAGGTCCGGCACGTGATCAGCATTGTGAGCTTGTGTTGTTTTGCAGCGCAGAAAGCCAAGAAGGCCCAGAGGAGTGTTAAAGTCTGCTCATGGTGGCAGGTTTCAGTCCATAAAGTCTGATTATTAACTAAAATATGTCGTATTTTGATTTGGGAAGACAAAAAGCTGTCACCAAATGACACGAAAAGACCAAAAAGAGATGCAAAGTTACCACAAAAAAGATGCAAAACCAACACAAGGAGAAGGAAAATAACTGCAGAGGTCCAAAACCGCCACAAAGGCTGAAAAGACCACAGAACAGTTTACAAAGACCACAATGAGACTCGCAGAGACCACCAACAGACATGAAACGACCACAAGGAGACACAAAATCACCACAAAGAGATGCAAAACGATCACAGAGGAGGAAACAGAGACACAGACTGATGCCAAAGAGACACGACATCACTAAAGAGAGGTGCAAAAAAAGCACAGGGTTTTGTAAAATGCCCATAAAGAGATAAAAAAAATCATAAAGAGACGCAGTAAGACCACAATGAGACACAAAATGACCACAGAGAGATGAAATAAAACAACAAAGAGAACTGAGATGACCCCAAAAACAAACGTGCCAGGTTACTTAACTGATGCACAGAGACACAAGATGATCCCAAAGAGATGCAAAATGGCCACAAAACTGATTAAATCACCACAAAGAGGCACAAAATCACCACGAAAAGATGTTAAATGATCCCCAAGAGATGCAGAATGCCCCCAAAAAAATGGTGAAAAGACCACAAAGAGGCAAAATCATCACAGAAAGATGCGATAAGACGACAAAAACAACTCAAATGAATGTAAAAAGCTGTAAAACTGCAGCAGAGACGCAAAGTGTCGCAAAGACAAAGTCATATGGGAAGTTACCACAAAGACACACAAAATCCCGACAAAAATACAGAAAACGACCACAAGGAGACACAAAAATACCACAAAGAGATGGAAAAAAACACACACAGAGGCAAAACGATCACAGAGACAAGAAATAAAGACAAGGAGGCGCAAAATTACCACAAAGAGATGGAAAAAAACACATAGAGAGGCAAAACGAGACAAGAAATAAAGACAAGGAGGTGCAAAATTACCACAAAGAGATCGAAAAAAAGAAAACACTGAGTAAAAATGACGACAAAAAGATGCGATAAGACGACAAAAAGAACTAAAACGACTGTAAGAAGTTGCAAAATTGCTGCAAAGATGCAAAAAGACCACAAAGAAATTGAAAAAACATACACTGAGATACAAAGTGACCCAAAAATAACATCAAAATCACCACAAAGAGGCCAAAAACCCCACGGACTGAACCAATCGTCTGCTTTATAAACGTAGAGCCTTCGTTTGCAGGAGCAGCAGAGTTCACGGGTTCATCGTGACACAAATACAGAAATAAACCTTCTCAGTGGGACTCTGTGCCGTCGACGCCTCCTCTGTGTTCTTATTGATGCCATGCAGGTGCTCGGCGGCGCCCACGTCAGAGCCTGTGGTCGGTTTTCAGGTGTTTCAGGTGATTGTTTTGCACCTCGTCCACTCCTCTGCTGATCACGAGCCTGGTGATGATTTGATCCGCCTCCAATCTGCCGTGTGCGTCCTCCTTGTAGTCCTGCAGCCTCGGCGTTGCTGTCGCTCCCGTATGAAACCCTGGTTGTTGGTCCGCATGCTCGCGTGCTCGCGCCTTCGCTGCCCGTCGGCCATCTTGTATTACCACGTGTTGTTTCCCCACCCAGGCCGAGGAGGACCTGGGCCGGGCTCAGAGGATCTTCGAGGAGCTGAACGTGGAGTTGCAGGACGAGCTTCCGGGCCTGTGGGACAGGTAGGGCAGAGACCGGCTGCAGCTCTCCTCCACCTGGACCCGGCTCAGACGTTTGAAACCCTGTTTGTGTTTGTGTTGCAGACGTGTTGGCGTCTATGTTAACACATTCCAGAGCCTGGCAGGTCATCAGGAGAAGTTCCACAAAGAAATGAGCAAGGTGAGTGGACCCCATCCCCTCCGGCCGACGGAACGGAACCGGTCAGCGTGTAACCCGCTCTCTCCTCTGCGCAGCTCAGCCAGAACCTGAACGACATCATGACCAAACTGGAGGAGCAGCGGCAGCTCAAGTAAGTGCAGCTGCAGCTTCTGAAACGTTTTAACCAGAGTGTAGAGGAAGTGAGAGTAATGTGCTTCATGACGCCTCCTGCTGCAGAAAAACTCCAAGTGCAGCGGCGAAGACGGGCGACGGCGCCACGAGGTAAAGGCTGCAGCGCCGGCAGGAGCCCACGTTCTGCTTGTCGGGCGGTTCTGCTTTTACTGTCTGTGCTGCTTGTTGTGCACGTTGAAGACTAACAGAGCAGAAGTTCAAGTTACGATATGAAGCCACGTAGCCTGTCTGGCCAATCAGAGGAGAGCTTCAGGACCACAGAGTCTCACGTGTTGTTACGGTTTCAGGGTTTTTTTTGCCCAGAATCCTGCTGAGATAATTAATGTCACCGTTTTGTTGCTTCGTTGGGCGCTACGTAGCTCCTGGATCGAACTCTTCATCGCTTTTACTTTAAACTTAAATAATAACAAACACCTACAGATGGAGCTCCACCATGTTGGAAGCTTTTAGACCTGAAATCTTGTCCGGATATTTTCACAAACAAAAACAATTCTTTACGTTTTTTTTTTTACCGTTTTGATGCCTCAGAATGAATTCTCTCTGTCAGTATTCTGGCGTTTAGCAAACAGACATAATGTTGGTGATCCTGACTGACCTGAAACAGGAAAACTTTAGTCTGATTTAAAGTCAGACAGCGAGAAAGAAAAGTCTGTACGTCTGGTTAAACAGCGTATGGAAACTTTTTGTTTAGCACTTCGAGGTTCCAGGTTTACGACTTAGCGTTGCTGCACCGCCTCAGAGCCCTGCTGTCTGAACCATTCTGCAGCATCTTCTGCAGAAACAACTCTGGTATTTGATGTATTGTTGACGCAGAGTCACCCGACGTGCTTATTAGAGCGTTTGTCGTCAGTTTTGCTGTTCTAGAAATATATCAGTGTGCAAAAGGCCAGTGTTTGAGACGGAGGTGCTGCTAAATAATGTTGTTCTGAAGATAAAAGCAGTTCAGAACCGGTAAAGGTGCAGAAATGTTCTCCCTCGTGCTCCTCAGGCGTTGTGTTTTTGACTGAAGACGCTGCATGTGTGATTGCATCCGGCGGTGCGTTTTCCATTTCCGTTAACGGCTTTCCACTCGATCGATGCACGTCTAAAGATCCGTCTGGTTGTTTTTAATCTATGTGTTTGTATTTGAAACGCGCTGATAACTTTGGAGGCTTTTTTATCTTGAGATTTTTTTGTGGGTTTGTTTTGTAGGTTGTTCGTTAATCTAGTTGCGGTTTTGTCTCTAAAATACCAGATTATGATGCAGAGCTTTAAAACAACTCAAAGATATTCAAAGAAGCATCAAATTTCTCACATCTTATGAGCTGCAGCCAACTAATTATATATTAAAAAAAACACGGCAAACTGTTAATCAGTTGGAATTAAATTAAAATAAAATTTTAGACAGAAAAAAGGTTAAAAAGGTTAAAGCCTTGTGTGTTTGTCACCTACCTGACAGTCTGTGTGTGTTTACATGTGCCTGCTGTTGCTCTGTGGTGCTTAACATGATGCAGCAGTTTGTTGTCGCCCCCGTGTGGCCGGAGCAGAGAACTGCACGTATGATGAGTTTCCTTTCTGTTCTTCACAGTCTGTACTTTTCTACCCTCACGCCCTGCGTTTTCTCTCTCCTCAGTGAGGACGCCAACCACAGCGAATCAGCGAGCTCGGCACCAAAGGTAACAACACCACCGAGCAGCTCCAGTACAAACCCTGAACATGTGTCGCTCTGAAACGAGGAGAGATTTCTGAGGTTGAAGGGAATAAATGAGTTTGAGTGTGCTCATTTTCTGTAGTTTTATGACAACCATTAATAGCTGTGTGACAGATTCATGGGACACAAAAACAATATTTACTGGATTTTAATGCACAAGGCTTCAGTTTCTTCAAGTCTGTGCTGTTTTTGAGGAGTTCAACTGCATGCACTTAAATTAAATTAATCTGCATATATTCAGGATAAATAAAGTTTTTCTCATCACTTTAATAGTAATTGACTGTCCACATGATGAGGTTTGTATTTGTATTTATCACGAAACAACCTTTAAAACTTCCAATGTCACGTATTTGTAGCTCATAAATCTGCATTTGTGTGATAAAGTTGTTCGTTTTGGTTCATGAGGAGCTTGTTTCATGTGTAACATCCACACAGCAGGGGGCGCCGCTGAGACGAGTTACAGTCTAACAGTGAGGGCAAAGCAAATGGAGACTAAAATATTTAAAAACAATATTCTTTTAGCTTGTTTGCAGCTAAACGTGACAAAATAAATTCATGTTTTTACCGTGAATAATAAACTTTATTTATTTGTCACCTAAACATGTCATGAAAGTCATATTTAAGACATAAACAAGACAGTAACAGAACATTAGTTGAGAAAAATGATGAATAAAAGATGTTGCTGAAGACACTGCACACTTTAAATATAGTTTTGAATGCATTTTAAATCATTTTAATCATTTAATGATGTTCTAAAGTGTTGTCAGTTTCAGTTAAGTTGAATTAAATGTTGATTTATGTGTCAATTAAAGTGCAGTGTACTCTGGGAATATACAAACAAATAATTCAAATGAGGAGAAAATGAAATTCCCTGATCTCTACAGGAGGGGTTGCAAGATAAAAAAGAAAATTGTAGAACAAAAACAAGTTGCATATTTGAGCCGTAATTGTCACAAAATGTAAAAAACTTACTTTGACTGACGTATTCTGCTGCCATCCTGTGTTACGTTACTATAAAGTAATGCTTCATGTTGTGTTGTTGTTGTTTTGTCTGTTATTATGTGAACACTCCTGCAAAGCTAAATGGGAGTTGGCAAGTGTTTTTTTGTCGATATTTTTGGGGTCGGAGGCTAAAAAATGTGTGAAACTCTGCTCTGAAGCTCCATATTGGTGTTAATATGCCCTCACTGATGTACTAACATGTGTCCGTCTGCTTCGTCGCCTTTTGCATGCGTGCACGTACGTGTTGTGTGGATTTGATTGAACCCTCCTGGTGGTGCAGAGGCCCGGTCCTCCTCCCAGCCGGCCTCCGCCCAGACTGACGCCGTCGCCGGACCAGAGGCAGCAGCGTGTCGGCCAGCTGGAGGACGAAGCCTCGGTGCCTGAAGCTGACACAGAGTCGACTAACACAGCGCCACAGGTCAGGCTGACTGCACGAAGCTAATCGTGACAAAAGCTAACTGGAGAGTGACTGTAGTTTGGTTTGAATGATCCCACTAGAACAGAACCTCACCAGTTTGTTTCGTTCAACAGTAGAAAAGAGGAAGTTCTGTTTGTGTTTTCCATAATCTGAGAGTCTTGGAGCGCATAGAGGTCTAAAAAAAACAGAGGACCGAAAATGGAACCCTGAGGAACTCCAGATCGCCAACCTCGCTCAGAGTTATTTATGTTTTCGGGCCACTGCCATCTTTAATATTCAGCTACCATCCTGTGTTAAATTCCTATAAAATAATAGTTTCTGTTCTGTGGTTGTTATGCTAGTGTTTGGAGTCTATTAGTTTGTGGCCGCTTCTCCACAGATACGTTTATTTGAAGGATAACACCAGAACAGAACCTCACCAGTACGTTTAGTTAAACAAATAAGGAACAAAACCATATGGAGTTATAGAGTCAGAGGTGAAAAGTGAAGAAATGTTTCGTGTTTTCCACAATCTGAGCATGTTGGAGCATATAGTGGTTAAAAAAGAAGAGGACCGAGGATGGAACCCTGAGGAACGCCACATATCCAACCCTGCTCAGATTTATTTGTTTTCTTTAATAATCAAGTTTAACATGTTATATATCTAATGTTCTTGCCAAAACGTGCTTATTTATATCATAGGTTTAGTTGGAAAAATAAATATCAGCCACCATTCGTCAACAAATTGCTGAAATATTTGGTTTTTGATGTTTGATTCACACGTTGACCTACAGAGCAGACGTTTTCAGATCAATCAAACCCTCCTAACCCGTGTGTGTTATGGATGTGTGTGAGGCAGTGTGAGCCCTGGTCAGGGGTGAACCTGCTGGACTGGGATGTGGAGGTTTTACAGCCGGTTACATTACCAGCTCCCAAGGTGGGTGTGATGTGTTCAGGCAACAAGCTGGTGGACTTGTTTCAGAGCTGAAGACTGTGTTTACATGTAGTTTTAACCCCGTTTTGATTCACTGTGAGCTCGTTTTTCACTGCAACATGAAGTCCTGCACCTCTATGGAAACAGAAGAACCATGACAAGAAGTGGAGAGAACGCAGATGACATTAAAAAATAAAGATAAACATTGATTTGCTTTGATTGTTTTATAAAAATGGGGAAATGCTTGAATCAATTTGTCAAAACATAGTCTTCAGGTGTCACCAACACTGGGAGAAAATGTGGCTGCACATGCTATAGATATTTAACTATTTAGAAATTATGTTATTTCACCGTGCCTTAAATCTTTACACAGCCTGCAGTTCAGCTGAATATTGAGAAATTTTAGTTTCATCACTCTGTGAATCAGTCTTGACTTTTCCTTCTGGCTGAGCAGCGCATAAATCAAAGTTTCTTTAACTAAATCTGATGCAAACTGTTTGTTTTGGGCCAAATTTGAACAGAGACATGTAGAGTAACGTGATTTGGATGAAAAATCCAAATTTGAAGCTGAGATTTGGTTCATTTTCAGTCGGTTTCATTTCACTCCAGTGAAACTTACAAACTCGCCTGCAGGGCTGAAGTACAAGATTAACAGTTTTTATTTTATTTTTTAAAATTTGGGGCTTTTAGTCGCCTGAAATGCAGATTATGTTCCGGTATAAGCTGTAATTATACAATCTTTAAATGTTACGATTTAAAGCTGACAAGAAAAAAGGAAATTTAAAGATGATTTTTAGTCACAAGCCGATGCCCAAAAAAGTTGCGTTTTTGTCTGCGTGTAAACACAGTCGTGTGTGTTTGTGTTGTCAGGAAACCCTCTGATTTCTTCACCGCATGTCTTTGTGTGCCTCACTTTGCATGAATGATGCTGATAAGCTGATCAGGCTGAAGTTTTTAGCTCTTCCTCCCCACATTTACACTACAAGTCTGAACAGTCTTCCCTCGTTAAGCACAAAGACTCCACATAAACTGCACATATGTTCATGTCTGATCTTGGTAAATGTTATGAGGACGTATTTGTACCTGGTTGAGTCTCACTCGTTGTCTTGTTTCCTCACTGCTCCACGTAAGGCGCCGTCATGGGACTCGTGGGTAAGAAGGTTCATCTCTTTGAAAAGACAGAACCGACTCTTTTATCATCTTTAGAAACTCCTTTTCTGTCCGTTTATCAAACTGAACTCCTGTCGTTCGTCCAAACCTTCCTCCTTTGGCTTCTTAACTCCCTGTTCAACCCTCGTGACCTTCCCTCGTCCTCCCCCTCGCCTCCAAACCTCCCGTGACGCTCCTCAACCCCTCGTAGCGAGAACAGAGCGCCACCGAGCAGGACCCGGAACCCGACGACCAGAACCCGGAGGAGGCGCAGGGCGGCTGGGATTACGACGACAGCGGCGCCCAGAGCTACGCTCAGCCCGGCTGGGACGACGCTGAGGGTCAGGAGGGCTGGAGCCAAGATGGCGGCTACGCGGCTCAGTCGTACTCTGAAGCCAACTGGGACGACGACGGTGTGGATCAGGGAGGATGGGGGGAGGATGACGAGGTAGAGTTGGATGGACGTGACGGGAAAGTCCAGGATCCCTCCGACGACAAAAAGCCTTTGTGATCTTTCCTCCTTCGCTCCACTCCTGGAGCCTGTCAGTCTTGATTCAACTTCTTTAATCACACAAACGGACTTTGCTGTTTGTCTTTCTTGCAGAGCGCGGTGACCAACGGCTCCGAGGGTGAGCTCCCTCCAGGGTTCCTCTACAAGGTGAGACGTTCAACAAGTACACCAGTTCAGAGCCTTCGTCTACAGAGCAGGTATGAGTGTGACCTTGTGTTGTGGCTTCAGGTGAAAGCGGTGCACGACTACGCCGCCACCGACGGCGATGAGCTGGAGCTGAAGATCGGAGACGTCGTGCTGGTCGTGGCCTTCGACAACCCCGACGAGCAGGTCGGTTTAACTTCAATCTAACGACCAGATGAACTCTTTTCTTAATCTCCTGTCTGTTCTAACTGGACTTCTTTGGTCCTATAAACTTTAAATTATTTTCCTAAAAAGCAGCAAAACACACAATAAACATTAAGTTAGATTAGATCAATAATTTATCATTATCAGGAATTTATTTGGCCTCTGTGTTTGTGTCGAGAAACTCTGATATCAAGACACCCTGAGTCCAGTTCAAGGCATCGTTTACATGCCTCAGATGTGCGAATATATCTGATATTATGGAATTAAATACAATGAAACATGCACCCTGTGTGGAAAAGTCACATTGTCATCATGTCTATGATTGTTTTTTACAGTTCCTTCCTCACTGCAGCCTCTTCTTTTGCACTGGTTTACCTAAAAAAACAACAACAACAACAAAAAATAAACGCTCATTGCATTTAATTTGGCAGATTTTGTCAGAAACTTGGTGAAAACTATATGTGGGTGGAAACTCACCTCATAATCGACACAGCTTTTCCAAAAAACTACTTGGACCAACATTAAGTTCTGTCAAGCCTCCTTTAAACCTTTATACCACAGAGGAACAGTTTATAAAGTCAACAGAGTTAATAATTAACGCTGAACGATAATAAGTGCAGCTTTTGGTCGTCGATTTATCGTTTCTGATGTTTTTTTAAGCGGGATTTGCTTTTAAAAAATGGCAAAAAATTAGCAGTTTTGCAAGAAAAAGAGAAAATTTGCTGCCTTTGTTTGTCATACATCATTAAAATTTGAATATTTCAAGGCTTTGAGGAGTTTTTGTCGAAGAAAAAGCAACTTTTGTCCATTTTCTGATGTTCGATCCAATGAAGAAGAACTTCTCTTTTTCAAATGGGGAATAGGTTTCTGTTCACGTTACAGTACTTGGTCAGCAAACACAGACAATACTTTTATATACATCTGAACCCTGTTTCCTTGCTGCTTGCTCGTATGTCTCGGTAGATGTAAAGATATTTGAAACGAAGCTTGTTTTTCTGTCTGCAGGACGACGGCTGGCTCATGGGCATGAAGGAGTCCAGCTGGGCGCAGAAGAAAGATGCTTCAGCCAAAGGTGTTTTCCCCGAGAACTTTACCCAGAAGGTTTGAGAATAGCGCCACCTACAGTTCGTGCCCCTCTGCTTCAATCACTCCTCACGTATCTGAGACAGAAAAAAAAAGTCATCACATGTCCACCTGCACACCAGAATTGATCGTCACGACGTGGTTGTGTGCGCTGAAATACAAATACAGTTAAAAACGGTGCCAGTTAGTAACTATTCAAAAGATGACAAAGAATTTGGTTCCAGCCCGACTCGTCTCATGTTTTAGTCAAACCCAGAATTAAACTCATTTTGTTATTCCTGCGTCATACTTTTGCTGAAGTCAAACAAAACGCAAAGCGTGCGTTAGCTCTATTTAAACCGGATAATTACGTCACGGATGTACTGTATGAATGTGGAAACGTTTTATGTCGTGCTTTGTTATCGGTTATGTTTTGAGAACTTTTCACGGTTCCTTGCATGAAGCATTTCATCGTGTTGTCATTTACTTTGTAACAAACACTGTGACACCAGGCGGAGTCGCTCTATGAAATATGGCTGGAGAGTGCAGGAGTCCTAGAATAGAGCCCTGGAGGACGCCGCCGATCTGAACGGTATATTATCAAAGTCTATGACGGTTTGTTGGGCTTGTAGGGTTTTCAAAGGGAACAGTAGTCTTTCATTTATATTATCGGCCATTTTGAGGACATGACTTGACGTGTGGCTTCAATTTTCTAATGCACATATGGTTTTATTTTGTTTTTTTTCATCTTTTCTTTGATGGATGAAAAGCTAAACCTTACTATCAAACTCAGCTGCTGATTTCTTACTTACCCACGTTTATGACACATTTTTCATGTGAATTGAATTCTGGCTCTCTGCTGATAGATTTTCTTTAGTTTTTGGGTTTTTTTTTTCCCAGTAGAAAATCAGGTTTTGACGGCGTACTAGTGACGTAACTGCGGCCGTCATTACCAAACACACCACAGAAACCAAAGCTAAACCCATGCAAAGACATTTTTACACTGTGTGGAATAAATGAATAAGGAATGAGTCCGTGTGGTATCTGATGCACCATCTGTTGGATCAAATCAGCCTCATTAAAGTTGAATAAAACAGCATGTGTCCCGTGATGTTTATTACATTTTTGCTTCCTCATCACATTAAAATGCGTCTTTTAAAGGGACTTTTAATGTGAAATCATAAACTGAAATGACACGAATTAAAGGAATTAAAATCATCAGCACTCGTGTCAACCAAGCCCATCTTCAGACGTGCAACATTTGTTTGATAATTTTTCATTTTACGTGAGATTGGACTTGAAATGAAGCGATGTATAATGCAAAAACAGAATCCTGACTGTGCAGATACGTTGTGTTTTTCAAGTAAATATCAGGTTTTGACGGCATATTTTCTGCTGAAAGTCTATTAATGTTTTGTAGTAGCAGCTCCATGTTGGGGATCATTTCTAATCACAAGTAACTCAGTCAGAGGACAGACTCGTACAAACAGCTCGAAGCAAAGGTTTAATTTGATGGACATGAAATTGTAGAGAAACATGAACAAGAAAACCGTCTTTTGCTCTCTGTGATGTGTATAAACTGATAATTGTGCTGAAACTTTCGTCAAATCATTTTGCACGACTCAAAATACATCACGTTAAGTTAAAAGTGGTCCAGAAACGTTACCAAGGAAGATCGACGACAACGCAACTTTTATGGAACAGATCTGGTTGTTCGTTCAGACGTTAAGCCGACATGCTCAGATGTCATCATAGGAATGGAAAATAAAAATCTGAAAGGGGCGAAAAGAAAAGAAAAGAAGCCAGTTTATCCTCATTTTTGTATTTTTTTCTGCAGTAAAATTGAATCTAAATGTGAGTTCGTAGCAATATTCCTCATTAATGTTCAGGATTCTGTTTCTAAGCTCCATTAAAAGTTGTGTTCTGTGTTGAACGAACGGACGCAGCCACGATCTCCTATTTTATGTTTGCCTACGAGCTACCGCCCACATGTCACGTATCGTGGCTGCTGGCATTTCGAGCTTCATACCGGCAGCGTGACCTTCACTGTTTCTGTAACAACAGGACGTCCAGCCATGTGGAAAACACAACAGAGCGGCCGGCCGGGCCTCGGTCGGAGGGGAGGAGGTGGGATACATCCTGTCCTCCAACAATGGATCAAACAGCAGCCAGGATTTCACAGGACTTCTATTACAAAAGCTCAACGAGAGTCCGTTAACAGTCAGGCAGCAACATGGACTGCACGGAAAAAAGAAGCACAAAGAGCAATCAGCTGCTAAAAGAGAATAAAATAAAATACTACAAGGCAAAACAAGAAGATTAAAATAATGGAAAATGTTAAACATGAAGAGCTTTTAGAGTTATGAAACTGTAGAAAATGTGTTTTCTATACACTAAACTGTAACACCAGGAGTTTGTCATGACTACAAATTTGGCTTTTAACATTTTGTTACCACTCTGCAGCGTTTTACAGCTTTTAGTGCATCCACTGACTTCAAGTAGCATCAAACTTTATTGGTTTCTGAGATCTTCATCACGTTTTAGGAGTTGACTAATTGGTTTTCATATCATACGACAATGAATAAAGATCAATGTTTTTGCATGCATTAACAACAAATTACATTTTACTTAGTGTGATTAGAAACAGCTGCTCCTGTTAACAGCTACTTTTTAAGCTTTTCTCTCACCTCAGTGTCACTAATGAGCATTTGCCGTTTTCTGCATTTGTGCTTCACTAGTTCTAATTTGTAAACATTCAAATAAACCGCTGTGAGATGGTTTTGTGAAAAGATCCTGGATGCAAATATTTCCCTCTGACTGCCTCAGTCTCAGTGGATCTCCATGGAGATCTGTGTCCCCCTCAGAGCCTCGACTTCATTAATCCCAGTGTACTTTACAAACACTGAAACAAAGCACTGCTTGCTTTGTCACCTGTGCCCTAAATGAGTTTTACGTGCCTGACATATGTGCTCAGGGTTATACATTATCCCAGTGCAGGACGAAGGGTTATCGATGTGTGGCGGAGCATGTCTGCTATTGGCTTTTCCCCTCAGCTGAACCCAGTTAACCTCCATTTATTATCAACAAAACTGTTACTATGGCGTCTGGAGGAACTATAAGTAGCAGAAAAAACCTCTCAGGCTGCAGGTTTCCTCTGCAGATCCTCAACATCAGCAGCAGGAATCATCATCATGGTAAGTTTGTTTTCTCTCTCGTAGTTTTAAAGATGTCTTGATGTTTAATCCCAAAAGGCATTTCAAGACTTACCTAACTTTTCTGCTATCTTTCTGAAGAGGGAGTGCCTCTCTATCCATGT